GCAAGACTGAAATATGAAGGAAAGGGATTTGAATTCTTCTCCCATACAGTCCCATGGTGTGCCATTGTGTGTGGAGTCCTGTGGAAGGAATGGCCAGCACTGTTATCATCCCCTATATCACTAATTATAATTGCCCTCCTGCTGGATGCAAAGCTATGTAGCTACTGGGGATGAAGCTTAAGATGAAATTAAAGGGCAGAGTGACAATCCTGGGAGCTGAGAAAAGGGAAGTGGCACTTTATGTTGTGTGAATGTGTGTGTAGTGACTGAAGGTGGCCGTGGCTTCCATGACCTGAATACTCACTCACAAGAACCAAGCTATGTTAAAGCTCACTTTTAACTATGCTGGTGTGGCAGAGGTCTGCAGCAGCAAAAACTAATGTTAGCTACAGGTAGGCTATTCTGTGCCAATCAGATTTAGAGGCATGACAGTTCATGTTGCACACATAGTGGCACAGACAAAAAGTACAGCATGTGCAGTGCTTAGCATCTCACATGCACCTTGAGTGAGGCTCATGCCTGTGTCTGCACTGGACGCCTGTTCACTCACGCATTGGAAGAGCCTGGTGTGCAATCAGCGCACAGAGGAGGCTACAAAAACACTTTGGAGAAGGAAAAGCTATGTCCATATTTTTGAAAAATAGCAGACAATGAGGGAATTACTGGCTACAAGTGTATTCAACCCCTGGTAAAACACAGAAAATACAAACTACATGTTCTTCAAAAAGAACTGTGTGGTTCAGTAGGACTGATGTAACAGACACTCTTCTGTTTCTATTACATTTTGCACCGGTTTATATTTGGAGAAGTACCAATATTGCACTTCATTTTTAGTTGGAGGTTTATTAAAAACAAGAGTGAGAGAAAGACGGCAATGTAAAAGTTAAAAATAAAAGGTATTAAATATAATTACATTTTTCATTAGTCATAAAAATGTATATGTATGCTGCCAATAAGAGTTCTTAGGAAAAAAATCTGAATCAACCAAAATCTGAATCAGCAGGTCAGACTTAATAAAAAAAAATGTTTAAAAAAAAATCAGAAACCAGGATCAGCCAAGAAAATTGCAATCAGTGCATCTCTAGTACTGTGTGTCCATAACAAATACCCGAGAAGAGGCCTGCTGTGTTGTTTGTTAGGAGTAAATCATAAACCAAACTATTTACAGAAAACAAAAAGAAAGCTTTGGATGATGAGGAATGAAAAGGGAATACCTCAAATTATGTCTGAGTGCAGATTATTTTATATTACCTGCAATACCAAACAGGAAGTTGCAACAAGTTTACACTGTCGTGCAGAACAAATAACAGCAACCATGGACGAGTACAATAGGTCCTTTCATTTTCATTGACCTATTTCATCACCATTTCTGTTCCTAGTAAAGAGGGCACATAACAAACACGCCGCTGTATGACCTTTAAATGTCTGCACCCAGAGTGACTGTACCTGACGTGCCTATCTACTGACATGCCCTGACACAAGTTTAATTACAACAGAAAAATGTGGCGAGCCTGACAAGCCTGTGGCAGCTTAGCAATGTTAGCACATTAAGGTAATGCTTAAGATTCAGAGAATGTACTCATGGAGCAGACATCTTGTCATGACTGCCAGTAGGAAACAGGAACCCTTTTCTACTTAAGGCTACACATTGAAGCTGACTGAAAACCAGCAATTATTAAGGACAATTATCAGTGTCTGAGAGATGGGGTGGGTGGATGGATGGATTTAAGATTACTTTCTTGATCTTAAGTGGAGCTTATTGAAAAAAGTGTAAGCTTTATGTGAAGAGTATGTAGAGTTCAAGTCCAAAATAGTTCATGACAAATGTTGCCTGGGTTTTTCAGTCAGAACCTGTAAAAATATAGCAGCTACAAGGAAGGAACCTATTATCCTTTAGAAGCCCTATGAATCTGTTAGAGTAATTCTTAATTCATACTTTCCCATTTTGAAATAGTAGGTTAGACTCTTGTTTTGAATGAATATCTTTGTATACAAGTTTATATCGGACTGTACCAACATAATATGCCAGTGCGCTGACTCACCAAAGTTTTCTCAGACTCCTGCTGGGACTCAGATGAGGACTCCATGGTAGTGTTAAGCCAGTGTCAGGTCTGTCAGCGCTGCTCTGACAAATGCATACCTGTCAGGAGAGAGAAGCAATGTAGGACAGTATTATAACATGTAATTTGTTTCACTTAATAGGGTGTAAGGGTTTGCTATGTCCAGAATTCAGTCCCTGGAGTTATTTAGAAAGCAGTCATCTTTTGGCTTGGAATAACACTGAATATTCAAAGTGCTCCTTAACTTCAGGTGGGATGGATAGTGTGCAAGATTTGACTTATTTGCAACATCATGCCTCCTCAGCTATCACATTTCAGAACAAACAGGTTGTACTGACCATTCATTATACAGAAACACAAAAGAGCTCTCATTTCTTCCATTATATTTTCATGAAGCAGAAACCTGCTCACCATCTCCCATTGTCTTTTTCCCCCCTCAAAGGTGGTGTAGCTCCAGACCTTTAATAAACAGCCTGTCTCTAGTGCAAGCAGGGGAGGATGGAGGACCAGACAGCCTGTCAGTTCCCTTCCACAGAGTCCTGAAAAATTAATTCTATCTTTTTCAGTCTGCCCTGGGCTCATTTTCCCTGTAGAAATGTTGGAGCAAAACATTGTTTTTAACCTTTATCTATCCAGGAAACCACTTAGCTGCTCCAATGGACCAGATGGAGAGTTACTTAAGGGTGCATCAGTGAGGGCACCTGGTGTGGGTTACTTTATGGGATGTTACTTGAAAGGTTCAGAGCAGGTATGTTTTTGAATAAGGTGTTATGCAGTTATACATCCAACTTAGATTGAATATCTTTCTGCTCCTATTCTGTTAACACATTTTTTTTTAACCAAAACTGTGTGACAAATCAAAGAGGTGATGCAGAATGTGAAGACAACTCAGGTTAATAAAATCAGCATTTGAGAACACAAACAGCCCCCTGCCCAAAAAGAAAGGCCCAAAGCAGGAACATTTTATATGCATTTGACTATGAAATGCCATATACAGTATGCCAAATACGTGCAGGAGCCACACGTTGTTTGTGCATATTCTACATGTTGTTTACACATAAACAACGCATGAAAATTTGACAGGCAATGTACTTGTAAACAGCATATTTTTGATGCTTAAAGTATGTGTCAAGTATGCGTTAAAAAAATGCGTAAATAAGGCAGCAGTGTCCTCATTTCCCATTGGCTGTTAACAACTCAGGTTACACCATTTCTGTAAAAATGAGGGGTGCCCCAACAGCAGTGACTCTTTCTAATATTGTAATATATATTATGAACAGCTAGCTAAAACTAGTTCAAACTGTTAGAAACATGTAGTCAGTGTGATGTTGTTTTGTACTGAATTATACTGTCTATTATTTTGTTTATCCCATTCATTTCAAAAAGGGTAGGCCAAATAACAGCAGCACAAACTACATTCTCCACAATGGCCATACAGTTGAATCAGCGCCTCTCTTACAGTATAACAGAATTGTTGTAGAACTGTTTTAAATTAAACTACACCAAATAATCTAATAACTGTATATGAACATACACCTTCTCAGCCTAGTGTTTATTGCAAATGTATTATATTAAACCACATTTACCATCTACAATACAATATATAGATTTCAGTGTTACTCAAAATCAAATCATGTAAATAATGAACAAATTAAATTCATGATTAAATAAAAAAAAAACTAAAAAAATAATCAGTGACATCACCAACCACCTCTACAGAGCACGAGTGAAATGCACCATTCAAAGAAAACTTAATGAGCAGAAATACAGAGGCCATACCACAAGATGCAAACCCCTCATTAGCAGTAAGAATCAGAAAGCCAAACTACAATTTGCAATAACGTACAGAGATGAGCCACAAAAGTTCTGGAACAGTTTTATGGACTGATAAAACCAAGATGAACCTCTACCAAAGTGTGGAGCACAAAAGGATCTTCTCATGATTCAAACCATACAAGCTCATCTGAGCAGCACGGAGAGGTAGTGTAATGGCTTGTGCTTGCATGGCTGCTTCTGGAACAGGCTCAATATTTGTTGATAATAAACTCATGATGATGGTAGCAGCAGAATGATTTCAGAGGTGTGCAAAAGCATTTTGTCTGACAATTTACAGAAAAATGCATCAGAACTAATTAGTAGGAGCTCCATCATGCAGCAAGACAATGATCCAAAACACACTGCCAACTCAACAAAGGACTTCATCAGAGGGTAAAGGTGGAAGGTTTTAGAATGATCAAGTAAACCACCAGACCTTAACCCAACTGAACATGCATTTCACCTGCTGAAGAGGAGACTGAAGGGAGAAACCCCCAAAACAAACAACAGGAGGAGGCTTCTGTAAAAGCACCAAAAGGAGAAACCAACAATTTGGTGATGTCAGTGATTCACAGGCTTGATACAGTTATCGCAAACATGGATTTACAACTAAATATTTTTATTTACTTTAAAACTGTTCCAATAAGTTTGCTCATCATCTAATACAAAAGGTGCTATGTTTTATGTTGTGTAACATACCTAGGTGAAAAAAATTCTAAATGTCACATATCCATCAGTCTTGCTGTTCCAATAGAGGGGACTGCCAAGTTGTGTTCACTAAGAAAGTGAACGCCACAGCCTAGCCTAGCCAAGTCTCACTGTAGAATGTATTATCTGCCTTAAATAATTCAATGTAAATATGATTTACAGGGCTTCATGTATGTTCCACTTCTCCTACTATCTGTGACTGCTTTAAAATAACTAAACTGAACTTAGAACAAATATTACAAGGCTGCAAAAACCTGCAGGAGCCAGAACACACAGGATTAAAAATATTTTAACAAACATCTTTTTTTAAATGTGTGTGTTCTCTGTGATCTTCTTGCCTCACTGACCTCATGTTCATATGTAGTCTCCACCACTAAATAAGCAGATCTGGGACAATCACATCTCCCTCTACCCACAGGAACTGTACAAGTCTTAATCTCAACTGACTGAACAGAGCAGAGTATAATTAGCCACAGTGACAGACGAGTTCACTTGTAATGCACATTATGTTCCAGTGTGGATGTATGTGCCTTGCTCTCCCGGTGTGTGTGATATAGCATCTTCCCTGTGTGGTGGTGTAAAACAAATCCATACCCCGAATACCTTAAATGTAGGATACAAAGCTGAAAAAAAAAAAAAGGTTTTCATACGTTGTTTACAGAGACGGGGGGGAGAGAGAGAGAGAGAGAGAGAGAGAGAGAGAGAGAGAGAGAGAGAGAGAGAGAGCTGTTCATTTTTTAAACTATAACATTACCACTGTGTGCCAGCAGTGTCGTGGATAAAAATTAAATCAGGTGCAGGCAAAGTGAATGACATGTAGAAGAAAGGTTTTTAATAGCTTCTTCCCATGTAGCATCTGCACACACTCTATAATAAGCTACATTCAAAAAGGATCACTTTTCAATTACCCTCTTCAGTCAATTGAGTTGAAGACTTGTACAGTTCCTGCAGGTGGAGAAAGATGTGGCTGTCGAAAATCTGCCTATTTAGTGGCAGGAACATGAACATGCCTGAACATGAGGTAAGTGAGTTAAAATGACTAAG